AAATTGGTATAATTTTTTTTAATCCAAATTAAAAATATATTTTTTTTGAATTGACTTGTATAAATAATAAATTTAAAAATAATAAAAATTAAAATTAAAATAATTAAAATTCTAAAAAATTTTAAAATTTTTCATCCAAATACTATTAGACTATTAGAGTTCTAGTTGCCTTTAGTTCTGTTTTTTTCCCCTATAGTTTGGGCTTAAATTTAAGGTTTATTTGTGGCCACAATTTGTTAGTTTACTTTATTTTGGGCTTGTTTTCGGCCTCTTTCAATTAAATCCCTATCTGTTAATTTTTAATTTAAGGCTTATATGGCTCCGTTCAGTTCAAGTCTATTTTTTAAGGTTTAATTTAAGGTTCTTTTAGTTCTTGATTTTTAATTTAGGGTTTATTTCTGACCGCTTCGGTATAAGTGATCTATATTTTTTATTTTTGGCTTAATTTTGGCCCTTTTCAATTTTAACCCAAGTTTTTAATTTAGGGCCGATTTCTGGTCCCCTTTAGTTCACGTCTATATGTTTTATATTCTGGCTTTATCTTTGGCCACTTTCAGTTTAATTTAGTTCTTCAATATAAGCCTAAAATTTTAATCTAGGTCATAGTATCAAGTGTAATTTAAATTTTTAAATTTTAATTAATGGCTTATTTGTATGAATCGCAGTTTATACTTTCTGTTTTCTTTAACTTTAAATATAACCACTAAATTTTAAGTACCTTTTTTTTTTCTCCTTAGTAGTTTTGCATCATTTGCTCGAATCTTCATAAAGCCCAATTGTAGTTGTATTAAGTCAACTCCAATGTAGTTTTAGTGAAGCCTGTTGTTTTGTTTTAGATGTGTAATTTAACCGGTTAAGTGTTAAATAATTGTACCTAAACTCTATCATCAATATAAATGATATAGATTTACCAACTATGATCAGCTTTGTTGTAGTGGTGCCCACAAATGAGTTTATAATAATAATTAGGCGTGAGGAGGCAAAAGAATTGAGATTTGAGGAAGATGGCAAAGGTGGATCTCTCAAAGATTAGTCTCCGGCCATTCAAGATAAGTGACGTTGACGATTTCTTGTTATGGGCAGGGGATGATCGAGTGACTCGAAACCTCCGATGGAAGACGTGTGGTTCGAGGGAAGAGGCTCTGACCTTCATAAGGGACGTTTGCATACCTCACCCTTGGCGTCGCTCAATCTGTCTCCATCACCGTTCCATAGGCTTTGTTTCGGTTTATCCATGGTCAGGTGATGATAGCTGCAAGGCTGATATAGGCTATGCTATTGCCACCAACTACTGGGGCCAAGGAATAGCCACCAAAACTCTCAAAATGGCAGTGCCTCAAGTGTTTAAGGACCTACCCCATTTGCTAAGGCTCCAGGCTTTTGTTGATGTTGAGAATAGGGCTTCTCAAAGGGTGTTGGAAAAAGCTGGATTCCTTAGAGAGGGTGTCCTCAGAAAGTTCACTTATCTTAAAGGGGTTGTTAAGGATCTTGTACTGTTTAGTTTTTTGTCAACTGATGAAATTAGTTCCGAAAATATTTGACCTTGTTTTAGTGCAAATGATGTAAAATTTATTGCAATATATTTCTGCACCTATCTACTGTAAAGAATGTTTAATCGTTTCCACTAAATGAATTCAGACAACTATTCTCGTTTTGAAGTTTAGATTGATTCCTTCATCAGAAGGTGTTGGAATGTTTACCTTAATCCATTAAAAACAATTATCTACAAAACTGAGTTTGCCTTCATGATATGGTTTACTGTTGTATGCCCGTGGAAACCATGGGAATCATTGCTGCGATATGATATGCGTATGCACTTTCCAAATTCTTGTTACGTTGTTAAATTTTCCCACAATATTTTTGATAGATTGATGTCTTCTCCGCAATTGATATATAGACACAGCATTGTTAATCCGCAGCTATAAAGATTAACAGCAATCATCAGAAAAACTATGAAGCTATATATGATATATAATAGTCCCACATCAGTTATATGACAAGTATGGTTTTGTCACATTATCAAAATGACAACTTTTAAAACCGCCAGATAAAATTATTAAAAAATGATTAAAATAATCTTATATCAATTTGTTTGAAAACAAACCTGTTTTAATAGAAAATTGGTATAAAAACTTCCATCATCCTCTAAAAGACTTGTATCTCTAAGGGATGCGTTGTGAATTCGGTAGCTTGTAGCTTCATCTCAATACATTAAAATAATACCTATAAAATAACCTGGTCTTACAAAGATCTTAAGCAATAGTTAAATGTAACATAATAGTCAAATAAAAAGACTAAGCAATGACGTCGGAAAGTTGTTTTTACGATTATTTATATTATTATTATTTTATTAGTAGATTTTTTTTAATCACATTTTTTTTAATATTAGAGACTTTGTTTAAAAAATCAACTCTAATACTATTTAGATCAATAACTTATTAATTACAAATGATTATTTATTATATATTTTTGAATTTTATAATAATTATCTTAAAAATTATAAGTAATAATTTTTGATTAATTGATAATGTATGATAATATATCTTTATTAAACTCTAATAATTAATGTATAATGATTTAGTCAAGTACATGAATTAAGTCCATATGAATTTCTTATAAAAGGAGGCCATGACAAGTTTCACACTACAGGCAAATTAGTTAAATACTATATAGTGGCAAGATAAGACAACAAGGACGTGACGAGCTAAGTTAATATACTAATTAAATACTATGGTGGAATTCTACCCACAATTTAGTAATGGTATGTTATTAAAGTTTCACCTTGTTAATATATATTATAAAATATTAAAGTATATTATTAAGATAAAATTTTAATTTTAATCAAAGAATATCACTAGAAACTCATAATTAAACATGTTGAGTAGTATATGGAACACCTCCACTCTTGATTTACCACTAACTCATGTGAGTTGATCATTAGTCACTTAGTCGAACTATTGAATTTGATACCAGAATTATTTTTTGAAATACTAAATTTAAAGTTAAAGTTTATACAAGTGTGAAATGAGAGAGAGTATATGAAAAAAAAAGCCTGTTTTGACACCTTTGACATTGTCAAGGAAGTCGCATGTGTTTACAACATCATTGTGTACCAATTCTACAACCAAGTATGTATGAAAATTAAAAGAAACTAATATAAAAATTGAAATAATTAAAACTACTTATTATAATAAGTGAGAAACGAGGAGAAGACAAGAGAATGTGAAAGAGAAAAGGAAAGAGGTGGATGGAAAAGAAGGATAAAATGTTTTATTGAAAATTTGGTGTATAAAATTTAAAAAACTAAAAAATAAAAATATTATTTTTTTTTTAAAAAAAAAAAGATGTACTTATATAAAAAAAAAAATGTGTATATGTCATGAGCCGGAAATAATCCAGCCCATCTTATGTTATTGTTAGGATAGGTTATTTTTGTGGCCTTTTTTCTGTCAGTGTTATTTTGGGTTTGTGGTCCTTTTTGTTAGTATTATTTTGGGTTTAAACGTTCGCAGTTTGTTTACTGTTTGACAGTCTCTTTCATATTTTTTATTCAACAATACAAAAGGACACGGCCCGAAAGAGAAAAGCAAAGACTCCAAACAGTGGCCCAAAAGTACACACAAACAAACATTTTTTTATAGGTTTATGATATATACACCTCCTTTTTTTTTTATAATTATACCTCCTTTTTTTAAAAAAATAATTAAAATTTAAAATATTCTTAATTTTTTAATTTTGCATTTTGTATTTTTTAATTTTACATCCACAATATTTAATTTAATATATTTTTTTCATATTTTATCTTTTTTTTTTCTTTCAATTTTTACATGCACCCCCTTATTTTTCCTTCACCTCACCTATTTTGGTAGTATGTAAAAACTAAAAGAGAAAAAAAGTATGTGAAAAAAAGAAGAAAGTAACAAATTGAAAGTTAAAGACATAAAATTAGAATTTAAAAAAAAAAACTAATATTTTATATTTTTTTTTTAAATTTAAAGAAGGTGTACTTATTAAAAAAAGGAGGTGTATATATTATGAGTCTTTTTTTTAATAGTTAATTAGGGTTGTTATTGTTTCGTGGGCATTCCGTAGATTAAACCAACCAATTTTTTTGTGCCCTATCATTTCTTGATATACACGTACTGATTTGGTCCCAAACATTGATTAGCGTGTCCTATTAATTCATAGTAAAATGTTCGTTTATTTTTATATGGTTTAGGAGTTTAGATTTCAATACAAGAAATGGTGGGGAGAAAGAAGAACTCAAGCACCAAGAACTAAAGAGGATCCTTATCATCTTAAATTTACATTATATTATTTTATTTTAGTTTTGTATATATTTTTAATATAATATCATATTTTTTAAAAACATATTTAAAATATTTAAGCCTAATTTACAAATTTTCTTTATATATATATATATATATTTATTTATTTATAACTAAATATGACTTTTTTAGAGATCACAAGTAATTTAATAACTCGTACACGACAATTACGCCTTCGCTATTTATATAACTTAAACAATTTTTTAAAAATTACAATAAATAAGTAATTTTGAAATCAAAGTAAATTATGCTGATTTAATCTGGCCAGACATTCAAAACTGGAGTAATGAGTTTAGAAGAAAAAAGAAATTAAGGAGAATGGATTTTTATTTTCAAATGAAGAGAGATGTATAATATTTACAATAACAAGTAAAATATTAAGTCACTAAATTTACATGAATCTATAATTTTTTTTTTTCCTTTTTAAAAAACTTCCAAATTAGTAAATTAAAAATTATTATTCTCTAAAACCTAACCATACATGTCAACACGTAAACAAAAATCATGATTTCTTTTTGGGTTGACATGAATTCACCATGATTTACCTACACTAGCAAAAACCTATTATTAACAACCATTTTTGTTCACCAAATGTTCAACTACGCCATATTATTCTCCATTACATTACATCACTTGCACCCACGAACCTGAACTTGGCACACCCTTATGCACCACAAATAACATGTAGTACCCCGGCGGCGCAATCTCCGCCGTCGACGGCCCCACCACGGTGGCGTAATAAGCCTCCCCGGCCAGATACGTAACCCCACTCAACTTCAACACCACCATCCTCTGATTCTGTCCAAAAGAGTGCGTCGAAAACGACGGTGCAATGATCCTAACCGACACGTCGCTCGCCGAACCATAATAGGGCACCGTGAACGTCACATAGCAAAAAACCCTATACCCCAACACGTTGTTGTTCGTAATATACCTAATTGTTGGCCGCACCGGATCAAACTCCGGCGCCAAATACGGCGGAGAAAACGCTTCCAAGCTGAGATCAGTGGGGTACTCAACCCCGGTGAAGTTGTAATAAACGTGAGGGTTGCTACCACCAGCTAAAACTCTTCCATCTTTTACCAACACCGCGCAAGAGTGATATAACCTAGGTCTTGACGCGGGTGCCATCACGCTGAACTTTTCGCCGGAGTCCGTCTCCGATGGACGGAAAATCACCGGCGTTAGCACCGGTTCACGGCCGTTTTCCCAGCCGGCGGTCCCCGCGGCCACGCCGTTAATTATAACGACCTCGCCGTTAGGGAGGAGAACCATGTCTCCCATTGCTCGCGGCATTGGCATGTACTCCATCACCCAAGTAGGGCTAGGGTTAGTGAGTTTCAGCCTCCCGCACGTGGCTAGGGTTTTCATGAAATTCCCACGTGTGGCGCTGTCAAACGCACCACGTGGCGCTCCGCCGCAGACCACCACTTCGGCTTCGGGGGAACCTAGGTTTTCGTCCAGGGGGAGAAGAACGGAGGAGCCTGAGCTGGGGTAGTTACGAGGTTCTTCACCTGGGATTGGAGGGAACTGTTTTATAACACGGTTTTGTTTGTAGTCCAATAACACGGATTTCGTGTTGGCGAAGATGAATAGGTTTCCGTCGGGTAAAAGGTGCACGAAAGGGTATAAATTATTTTCACTTGCGTCACTTGTTTGTTGGAGAAAGCTAAAGGGAATAGCTGAGGGATAATCGTTGTTAGGATTAGGGTTTTTAGGTAAGAATTCGTAGTTGAATTGTCTTCTTCCTCCAACAACAATGACACGAGAATCTGGGAGTATTTGGTTCGTTGCGTACCATCTTCTTTGTGATAACATTCGTGGGAATTCAACCCAATCGCATGTTTCATCGTAGCATGGGGTGAACATGCGAATGCTACGTTCACCGTCGTTGTAGCCACCGGTTTGGATCAATGTGCCGTTGGGAAGAACTGAGGCTGAGGAACACCACGTGTCTGTTTGTATCATTAAGGGTCGTAACGTGTTTGTGGCAACGTCGTATAGTACTGAGTGAGCAGAACAATCGATTTTTAGGGCAATGTCGTAGGGGTCTATGCGGCAACGGCCATTGGAAAGAGGAATGGATGAGTGGCCAAAATCGGTTCGGTCAAAGATGATGATTTTGTCGTTGCGTAGAAGTTGCATGTGCATTGCTGATATGCCAATGTTGGGTCGCATGAGATTCCATTGTCCTTGTTTTGCAAATAGTGATGATGTCAGAGGCTGAGACACTTGAAAATGTGGGAACAATGAAGCTACTATAAATGGAATTAGGATCATGATAGTGCTCATTGTGTGGGTTAGAAGGGAGAAGGAAGAGTATTGGGGGAAAGTGGTTGAGTTTACTGTTAGAGAGTTGGTGGGGTTGGGGTTTACTTGGAGCGATTGTAGGAAATGGAATTTAGTTTAGTTTATATTTTCAGAGTAAAAGCATGCATTAATATATGATGAGGACAATGGTGAACCATAAAAAAGAGGGCATCTTTGGAATGAATAGCTCATTCCGCAGCTAAAGGGGCGCAACTCAAGGAATACAGTTTAAAGCCAAGAAATATGATTACAAATAAATCTACACATCTTCTGTTCATTTTAAATCATATTGTCCTCGTGGTCAGAAAATATAGGGCACCAGACTAAGGGTACTTTTGAATGTGTAAAGCTATTTTTTTCAAATATGATTACTCAAGAGAGTCAGGAGAAAGTTTATTTTTGAAAATAATAAATTATTATTATTATCGGTGAATAAAATGAAATGTCATATAGTCAATGAAGTGTGACGTATCATAAGAGCTAAAACTGGAATGAAATATAAATAAAAGCTAGCCTTATAAAATCACTTAATCAAGCCGAAGTTATAACACCTTCAAGACACTACTACAAAATCATTATTTTACATCGTCAATTTTACATTCACTCAAAGAAAAAATGTCCTTACCGTCAAGGGAGTTAAAGTCATCAAGCTTAAAATGTCATCAAACCTTCCAAATATTGTATTTTGTTTTCTGGTATTTTATATAAATATTTTATCTTTTGTTAAAATTTTTAATTAATATTTATTTCATTATTTATTTAATTAATAATTATTTCATTATTTATTTTTATTCTAAAAACTTAACTAAATTATTTTATTTGAAAATACTAAAAAAATGATATCTTGTTGTAAGTATGATGTCATCAACCCATATAGAGTAAACAATGTTACAAACTAAACTAGTAAGTAACCCATGCAAATGTTGTGACATCTTTAACCCCTCATACATAACAACATCTTATATTATAAACTAGAATACCTCAATATAAAAAAAAATAATAAACTCAAAATTCCTACAAGTAGAAAGAATCACATTTTAACATAAACTAAACAAAACAAAAATAAAAAATTACAAAGAAAATAAAATATCATGAATCAAATCCTAAATAGTCCTAACTACTCCTAGATGTCATATGTCCTATCAAAGCAACCCAACATTGAGGACTAGGTCTCATCACCAACATTTTGAGTACCACATTGATGATCACTTACAACAACTGCAAGAAAACAACATAACATCTCACTCGACCAACTCACGATGCAAGAATCTAACCAACTAGTCAAATACAAACAATACATATTGTAATATATAGCATACATAATTATACATTATCATCATAATTATTTCATTTATAACATAATAAACAACAATAGATGAAATTATAATTCATATGCAACGGACATGGACTACATGTTATCATGCATGTAGTGGCAGTAAAAACATCACACTTGTGCATTGTCGCCAGTAATATACTAGAGTAGTCTAGGAGTATATGTCGAGTCACACCCTATACGCACTCTCACTAGAAGGACATACTATTAGGGTTTGGTCAGGATAACTAAGCCATGCAAGATACATCCCATGCTCATGAGGGTAAGATTGTGACGTTCAAATCGAACTATCCCCAAGGTTGGCACCAAAGCTTTTACACAAGGGATCTTCCCTAACGGTGTATTCCATATCGTACCCTTAAAAAAATTGCATGCACATGATGCATGTCAAACAGTGATAGCAAAGCTAGGTGAAAAAGATTGATGATATTCCCTTGGCTTTGCTCTAACCTTGGAATCCTTCCTTAAACCAAATTCTGGATGTCAAAATCCAGCAATGAAGAAGATGAATTGCGAAATTGAGAAAGGAAGGAAGCACTAAAGTGAAAGGAGCAATGGATTGCTCACAAATGGACTAGACCTAGAAGCTCTCAAGGTTCTAAGCTAAGCGTGAAAAGGAGACTTGAGGGGAGAATTTGGCTTAATCAAAATCTGATCAAAATTCTCTAAATATTCAAAGTGATTACAAATGAGAAGGAGTGATCTATATATAGGTCCGGAGGCAAGCAAAGTGGCACCAATCACAAGCTTACATAATTGGCGCCAAGAATTTAAATTTCAAATGGGATTTGAAATTCAAATTTTCGATCACCATGTGCATGGCTGTGATCTTAGGCTCTCCATGCATCTAAATGTCATTTAGAAGACATTTAGAATGGATTTGGGCGTGCACATGTTCAACCACACTTGGCTTAAAACATGTGACCCCAAATTCATCTTAAATGACTACTAAATGAAACCTAGATTTAGCCTCACTTACCTATTCTAGTATTCCTCCAATATTCCTACTCTAATGGTCTAAATACAATGGCCAAAGAAATACAAACAATAAGAAATAATAAAAGGAACAAAATGAGCCCAATATTAGGTATCAAAATACCCAAGGCCCATGCATAAAGCCCATAAAGCCCAAAAATAGGTCCACTAAGCGTATGACCCAAAAACCCTAATCTAGGTGGTCCAAAATACAAGACCAAAAATGTAAAGCCTATACTACATATTGGAAACAATAATAATGGTGGTCACTATAAAGCCCATGTGAAAGTACCCTAGGCCCACCAAACTCTAAAGTAGTCAAATCTTCATGTAATCTCCTAGCCATAGCTCTAGTGGTTGGATCCTTGGTCCATGCTCTTCCACCATCCCCTCCCTCTTGAGAAGGATTTGTCCTTAAATCTAAAGACTCACCCTCATCGTCACTAGCTCCTACAAAAGGTTTTAGATCACTAACATTAAAAGTAGGGCTAACTCCATAATCAGAGGGAAGATCAAGCCTGTAAGTGTTATTATTGATACGCTGCAGGAGTTGAAAAGGTCCATCTCCTCGGGGACTAAGCTTAGACTTTCTCTTTTGGGGAAACCTTTCTTTTCGCAAATGAAGCCAAACCCAGTCTCCTTCCTCGAAGATCATATTCCTTTTGCCTTTATTATTAGCTTTAACATATCTCTCATTTTGTTGTTGTATTTGCAATTTAATCCTCTCATGTAATTTTTTTAACAAATTCAGCTCTTGAAGCCCTTTCTTTATGAATAAAATGATGAACATCAGGAAGAGGAATCAAATCCATAGGAGTCAGAGGATTAAATCCATACACAGCTTCAAAAGGAGAAATATTGATAATCTTATGGACTACCCTATTGTAGGCAAATTCAATATGAGGTAAAATGCTTTTGTAGTAGTAACCTGGGATCTTTAAACTTTAACAATCCCAGATTGCCTTCCTTATTTTCTCCTCTAAGAATGGTGTAATTAAATATTATTGGCTGATCATCTAAATGTTTAAAAGACTTCATCTTATCCGATGTTTTCTGAAAATGATTCTTGAAGTGTTCTCAATATTAATGTAATATTTTATTGCTCCACTCCACTCCAACTCTTGTTCCCTCTGCATTCTGACTTAAAATTTCATTTACTTTTCTTCTCTTATTAATGCCCCCATGAAAGAATTTTGTGTTTGAGACCGATTATTGCTTTCTGGCACAACATACATACAACAGTTCATGGTTCACAGCATATAAATTTTTTCAATGCATTCCCTCTTTGCACTCATCTCATCTTGGTTGAGATTTGAAATCTCCCCTCCTAGGTCCCACTTTTGTAACCCGACTTCCCACTCCTTATTTAGATGAAAAAGATGACTATTCTTTTTCTTAAAAAGAACTATGCCCTTACAATATAAAACAGTTTTGCATTTTCAGCCAATTACAAATTACCTTATGTGGTGAACTTATTAACTTTTATATTACCCAAAGTTTATATCACTTTTTATCAGTTAATTGTATAAAAATAAATTTAAACTGACAGTTAATAATCATTATATTATTTTCCGCCAAAAACTGACAATTCACTTCGAGGACTAGATTTAAACAAAATTCAACTAGCTGCTGGTCCAATCAAGCCATCACCACAATACATAGAAAAAACGTCGAATCTTCACTGGGTATCACAACAGGTAGGTTTTGAGGAAGATCCTATATTATCCGTACTCGTATTTAAAAATAATATCGGTATCTAGTCTCGTATTCGCGCTAATAATTTTGATTCCTATCCTCATATCTGTTTGACATCTATATATTCATATTCGTACTTACGATCCGCATTTTACTTATATATATAATAAACAAATTAATAAAAAGATAACATTTCATACAAATAAAAATAATATTAATTTATCAAGTCTTTAATATTATAATTCTTATAAATAAAGATTATAAAATATTCAATTCTTATAAATAAACTTTAAAAAAATTCAACAAATAAAAGTTGTAATTAAATTTTTAACATCATGATCTTGTGTTAATAATATTCTCCAAAATTTATGAAAAAAATTGTACGAAAATTAGTTAGATTAAAATTTTAAATTAAATTATATATTTCAAATTTAAAAAAACAAATATATAGACATTTGATCTCATCATCGAATCAACTTCTATATATTTTAATAAACGTTTGTCTTCTAAGTCTATATATTATTCTGGTCCAATTATACCAATAGAAACTACACAAAAAGAAGATGAATGATTAAACAATTTAAATTAATAATTAAAACAAATAATAAAAAATAAAATAACTTTTATTAAATAAATAATATTTAATTATTTATTACCTTATTACTTGTATTACAATCAACTTTATGCACACATAAGTGTTTCCAAAGTAAATTCATGGAGTCTAGAACAATGATGACTCAAAAATTTACATTCCATATTCCATATGCTAAATGCAAATTCTGAAGTTACAGTTGAAATTAGGATTACCAAAACATCCTTAGTATTTTTATGCAAAATTGGATACTTGATCCCATTTGTTTTCCACCATCCAAGAATGTCAAAAGTAGTACTCTTAGTCAAAAAATTTCTTCCAAGTACTATTTAAGACTTTGTTTGTGTTTTAATTGTATCATTCACAAATGACTCATAATTACTAAGAAAATTGATAATATTTAGATATCCAAGTTTAACTCATTGATATTTATTCATGAAGTTGAACTTTTCACTATTCTCTTAGCTTTAGTTTAATACTCTTCAAATAATAAGTAATTCAATTTCTTAATATTATTAATTTCAATTAAAGATGAGCCACCATAAAACTTAGAAAAAAATATTTTCTTAATATTATTAATTTTAATTAAAGATGAGCTACCATAAAATTTAGAAAATATATGTATATACAACTGTAGGGTGGGGCAAGTTGGATAGCATAGCATCGTACCCGTACCTACTAAATTTTGCAAATTTATACCCGTCCCATACCCATTTCTATATAAATGGGTATTTACCTGTTTCCTATGAGAATATTTTTGTGAGTGTTCACAGGGCTCGGGTCCATTTTGCTATTCATAATCTCTACATACATGTTGTGACAAGTTCAAATGTGTGCGTGCAACTTCACTTGGTCCGAAGAAGAAACAACGTTGTACCAGTTATTGTCGTTTAATGGGATTATGGTATCTTTTGCTTCGCATTCAAGAGCTCCCTATAACACATCATTTAACGGGCAATTTCGCCTAAAGCATTCGTGAATTTCGCTATGCCAAATCCATTGGTGATGCTTTGATTATGTCGGTGGGAGAAAATAAAACAGCCACACTTGTGGCCCGTCACCTATTACATTTATTCATAAACCGGTACGTCAAAACACTCCATGTCTTTTAATATTTTAGTTGAGTAAAATATAAAAAATTTAATTCAATTTAATACACATATTACAGTAGTAATTATAATAAAATGAGAGTTGACTTCATATAAAGGAGAGTTACAATTATTAAAAGGTAAATATGTCTTAAGAAAAGTGTAAGTCAAAAGATAATATTCTCTTTATTTACTGTATAAATATTGATATTGATTTATATATAATATAGATATAGAAAAAATAAAATAATTATAGAAATCTAAAAAAATAAAATGAATTAAAAAAATAGATAAAATATAAGTGTTACATATATAGTGAGTGAAATAATTATAGGAAATATAATAGTTTAAAAAAAGTGGAGCTAAAAGAATTATACAATATAATCTCTTTATATATAATATAATACAGAAGAAAAAAAATACTTTATACCTCTAATATTTATTTAAAAATAAAAATAAAGATAACAAAAATTGCTGCAAAGATAATAATGCAAAGATAATAATGATGACTTAGTTTAGTAAAAGCAAGAAAATTTCTTAACGACTGTCACTACAACAAAATGTACAATTTATGGCGTTTCGTGTGTCAGAAAATTCAGTCATTTTGTGGCGGTTTAAAACAGCCCCACAATATCTA